TATATTTCGCTAAATTTGTGATTATTTTCGTTAAATTTATAATTTCACTGCAGTTTTAATTTAAATTCAGCCGTTTAGTGGGCTGCATATGACATGAGTTCACACGAATGTTACGTTAGCTGAAATTTTCGCAAACTATTCCATAATTCATAAACATCGCATTTTATAATACCTATGATTTACCGACATAAAATTCGCACAATCATACGAAACGTTAATTTAAAGTTAAATCAGATATGAAAAACATTCTGTTGTGACATTTCAGCTCCCTAGTGTGTTTGGTTTGAAGGGCTAATCACTCAAAAGTGTACGAGATTTTTGGATTTTGAAAAAACCTGGGAATTTTTTTCTGAGATTTTTTCAGGATTGTTTGCAGATTTTATGTTGATTTTTTATAGGATTTATTGGGTATTTTTTCAGGGTTTTTTAATGAAATTTTTTAGAGTGATAAAGCCCTCTGTTTGGTTCATGACTTCAGAAAATGGGCCATTCCATCTAATAGGAAAAAGTTATTTCGCTGACCTCAGAATGACATTTCGTCAAAACTTTTTTCTTCAAGATTGGTTTAGAAACAAATTTGGAGCAAGGTTAGGGTTAGGATCAGGGTTAGTTTTTAGAATAGGGTTAGTGTTAGTAAAACCGTTGATCGAATTGTTACGTTTTGTCACTCTGAGGCCAGCAAAATAACCTATTCCCGGCCCATTTAATAAGTTCACCCCCCATTATTTTTTTCAGGGGTCAGATGAATTTGTTTTATGTGAAAATGATGAGATGTCAATGGAATCTGGGAACAGTGCAGAGGAAAGTAAAATGGATGAACTGAATGAAACAGGTTCAAGTAACCAAGGAGAAAGCAATGTTAGAAGTGGTGGTAGGGGTCGTGGAAGAGGTCGTGGAAGAGGTCGTGGAAGTGGTCGTGGAAGTTGTGGAAGAGGTCGTGGAAGAGGTCATGGCAATAGCAGGGGTAGAGGACAAAATCGTGGACGAAACTTAGCCCCAGAGGAGGATAGCGAGCAGAATCAAGCCAATCATGAACAAGCATTACAGGTAATGCTCCAGTACCTTTTAAAATACTGGACAATCTTTTGTTTTAACCCTTTAAGTGGCAATGCGCCAGGATGTGCCATACTCTATTTATTTTTCTCTGTCTAACGCCAGACGATTTTACTCGTCAGGGGAAAAGTACTGCCACTCAATTGGTAACACATAATCAATGTGCCAATGTTGTAATTAGTTTAATTTTATTAAGTAATTACAGTGCCCATATTTTATTTATCAACAATGGCTTTATATATAGTATAATATACATATGAAACGTTTGTTTACATTAGTAAACATATTGACACAGATATCGTTGGACATTTTAAATGGTGTAAAGGGTGTTCTCCCATAAATTTTTATTTTGTGAACAGATAAATCTTCAATTCATGATTTTGAAGGCTGTTTTTAGTGATAGTATTCTATGTTAAACTTTTCTTTTAGAACCTAGTAGAAAGCTTAAATATTGATGTTTTAAGGAGATTAGCCCTAGAGCTTATGAGAAGACAACCATCTGTATATGCAGACATTACCAATGGTAATTTGTTCAGCACACTTGCTGAAGGTGATGGAGATCCACCCCCTCCTCCAAATGAGAACACACCAGATTGGTGCAAATGCGGAGAATGCAGAGTTATGCCCACAGAGTTGGAAAATAAATGCTGTGCTAAAGTGGAACGCCCATGTATAACCAACAATGCATTATTTCATCAATTGGTCTTAGATGCAAATGTTTTACACCTTGCCATGCAATATAGAGAAGATGTACTTGTGCTAGATAATGTAAGGAACAATGAGCAATTCCGACATGCTGCCTACAGGCAGTATGTGCTATGGCAGCATGGTCGATTGGGCCAAGGTAACAGGCGAGTTATCCCAAGTTGCTGTGTACTAAAAATCCGTAATCGTTATCCATCTGCAAGTGGGGTTTACACAGGATACAAGCCAGCCAGATTATAGCAATTCTGCATCTCCAATCATATGTTACTATGTCCAATAGAATATTTTGCAAGCTTGTATATTAACATTAAATTTATTTACAGTTTACACTGCTATTTAAGGTGGCTCGATATAATAATTCTCACAAAATGCAAAAATAAATCTTTATGCAGCATGAAATTGGAATGTACAAAACCACATGATCATGCATTCATTTCATCAGGAATATGAACAAAATAACTTTCAATATGAATAGCTGACATGGCCAATTAGTGACACCATGCTCAAATCTTTCGTATTGTATTGTGTTACAAAAATATTGTATTGGAAATAAGAAAATTCAGTAATGCCAAACATATTTAATGTAGTAACATTTTCAAAGAAAATGGTATTACAAGATTTTATGTATTTTGTCTGTTGTTAGTCCATGTTCCTGAAAAATGTATCGAGCCACCTCATATATAATATACACAGGGTTCATATACTGCTCTGGAAAAGTAAATTTCAAGGAGTAATACCAGAGTTTTTAAGGGGTAAACAGTATTTTTCAAGGGGTATTTACGGTGTTTTATTAAAGTCACTATAGGCAATACATTTGAAAAGTTCAAAAATTTCTCATGTTAATTAACTAGTCAAGAATAAAAATGTTAAAAGAAAAACAACCGAAATATCACCAGACATAATAGCGCATGTTCACAATTTCTCTGATCACAAATTCATGATCACTGATTATAATGACAACTAATAAAATTTTATACCAGGGATTCTATTTAGAACAAATATCAACATATTGTTTGACAATTCGACAAAAAAATTCAATGAGTATTTAAGGAATTTGAAAGAAACATTAAATTTCAAGGGCTTTCAAGCACCCTAGCTTGCAAGTCAGAAATTCATTCAAGTAGTATTTAAGGACTTCAACGAGTAGCACGAACCCTGAATACAGCAGCTACAGTATGTTTTAGGCAGAGCAATACATTACAGTAATTCACGTAAATCTTGATTTGTGGCATTCAATTAGGGAATTGATTGTTGGGGCAGGAACTGCTGCTATGTTATGAGCAACATTTCTGGGATCATCAGGAGATAAACCAATTACCCGGTTTACACCACCACTACTAAGTGCTCTTTCCTCAAATACTTTCTTGATCAGACCTGGGATGTATGTATATTTCTTTGGTTCAAGGATTTTGACTGGACGCCATCTCTTTGTACGCTTACTGTACTGACGTCTTGTCCTATGGGAAACATTTAGAATTGAGATTAAAATTTTGTTAAATAATGAACTGTATTAATCAGTATAAGAACTAACTGTATCAGTATGTTAGTAATTGAATTAAATAGTGCAGTTTTTCTAACAATGATTAATATCACCTCTCTTTGCCATCTGCTGTTGTGGCAACCTTTCTTTCTCTATGCATGTTATAGTCTATTGCTGCCAAGAGATTACGCACTGTGTACCCTATGAACCTATGAGACATAAATAGAATATGTTTGTGTGATGTTACTCTGAGTGTATATCCACACTGGGGAGGCTTGAAAAATATGCCTGGCCACGGTGGGAATCGAACCTACGACCTTTGGAATACGACCTTTGGAATATGACCACCGTGGCCAGGCATATTTTTCAAGCCTCCCCGGTGTGGATATACACTCAGAGTAACATCACACAAACATCTTATTCACCTGAGTACATTACACCAAAACAGCAAATTTCATAAATAGAATATTATTGTACATGTATAAAATGTGCAGTTATTGAAAATCGAATTTTATCACAAAGAATACTTACGAATACGAATGCCGCTTAGGTGCATACATGAGGATATGGTTATGGAATGATTCAAGGTTGCCAGTATGTCTGAAATAAAGAAATATAAATAGACAGTTCCCATTAGAGCCTAATTTTAAAAGGAGAGGCATTGGCAAGCAGATTCAATGCTAGAAAGAGCATACTAAAATTAGTAAAATTACAAAGTTTGGTTCATTTTAGTATGCTCTTTCTAGCTGTGGTGATTTATTTGCATCTCCTTGCCTAGTTTTAAAATTAGTCTATAATGGGAATTGTCTATTATATACATTTAAAAATGTTAATTTTAACCATTAAGTACCAGTGCTATCCCTTTGACGAGTAATGTTGTCTGGTGGTAGACAGAGTAAAATAATCTGGTGTTAGAATGAGTACAATTTCGATAAGTATTTCTATATAGCGCAAATTTACATGTGAAATATGATCAAGAGAGTAAAATAATAAAGGGAAAATCAGGGCACAATGCGACTCAAAAGGTTAAAGTGCAATATATAATTCCTGTGCAATATGCAATAATATCAACAATCAAATTGATAAGTTGTGAAATCGATGAATGTTAATGTGTCGTACCTAAAGTTAGTATAATATTTGAATGTGTTCATTAATCTCTTATCCAGAACAATCTTCCGAAGTGCTTTGTGAGCTGAATCATCTTTCTGAAGCCAAGGTTTTTCTCGTTCAACACCATCCAATGGCTCATGATCACATTTCCCATTATTGTCACCTTCTGTTATGACCCATTCATGTTCGTCAACAATGTGATGCAACAGGCCAATCCATTTATCCTGTACATTGCAGGAACAATATAAATGTACACTTAATGTCTGATCCCAAAGGAAATACTGTAGTTACTGTATTTTTGTTTCTGCAAGAGTCTCAATGTTTCATGAGAATACGTATAGGAAAACATTAAGATTCGAGGGGAAACAAAACTATTCCCTGAGGTAACGGCCATTAATAAAGTGTTTTGTTATATAGTGACGAAAGAATCAACAACATTGATACAATTACAATAATTGTATTTAATGCCAAAAAAATCCATTGATAAATTGCATTTATCTGAATAAGCAAATCATTACTGCCCTCTTTATATCCCTTGATCATGTTAACAGTTAAACAGACATATTTTATGGGCACTTATCTTTGAATACTGTATTCATTAAATACTGTATTCATTACTAAGAGCAAATTGTACCAGTACATGTCAGTTATTTAATAAGTAGGGCATTTTTGCTAGCTATTTATGTAGATGACAAACAGGATTAAGTCCTAAAGATGTACAATATCCCATTAAGTGCAAGTGGGCCAAGTCTGCTCCCCCTTAACAAGTAAATTTGTCTGGCATTAGTTAGAGTAAAATAAGAAATTAGGGCACACTAGGGCGCAAATGCGATTCAATGGGATATGGAAGGATTTATCTTTTGACTGTTAACTTGAAGTTTTTTGATGTCCCATCACAACTGTTCGAGCAATACCAAAAATGGTTGCTTATAGCACTTGTCCACTGGGCCAGGTCTTCGTTTCCTTTAACTTTGGCAGCCTAAATGATTATATGAAATTATTAATTATACCGTAAATATTCACAATATTCAGAAAGTACACATAGTAAAAGATTATTAAACTTATTGGCATTGTTCCCTAAACTATTTCCTTTGTTTTATTAGCATGACAAAATTACTGAATGCTAATTGGTTGAGAGGAGTACAATTATTTCATTAATTATTTATCTTCTGTAATCAGTGGCAAGTACTGCAATTTCATTGGTTTACAGGAGTGCGATTTGAGCATTAATCGCACCTTTTCTGAGCTGTAATCGCACTCTTGTCTACAGCCAATGAAAATCAG